GACACTCCTTACTCCTGATGGAGGATTCTAGTGGCCAGGCACAGTGCTCTGAAATGGAACATAATAAAGTAAAAATATGAAAAATAAAAGCAAACAATAAAATCTCATATGTATGTACTCTCCCAAAATCTGGGTCAATTACAGTGACTTCACTCCCTCCCCCCACAAAAATCAGGTTATTAACTAATATTTATGGCAGCTATGCACTGCATAATATAATAAAATTTCTCAGTGGTTTGAACAAAAGTACATAAAACGCAATCAGGTATAAAGCATATAATGCAATATACAATAAAAAGATTGTGTAGCACAATTTAAAAACAATTTACAGAAAATTAATGCAGAGTAACTGTTTTTAAATGATCATCATTTCATCCGATGATCTTTTCAACTGTTTTAATTCAATTCCACTTTAATATTATAACCTGCGTTTTAAGATCCTTCACAGGCATGAAGATCAGAGGAGAGCCACCTTGGTGGCTGCTTCCAGGCTATGGAGGTGTGGGCCATGGAAGCTTGACTCCCTCTCTGCTCTCTGCCAGCAAGTAAAAACTTCTTTATTTGAGCAAGTATTTGGCGACTATGTGGAAAGGTCTTTAATGGAGTGCACATGTTGCATCTAAAAAATTGTTCCAGTCATGGTTCTAAATGATATTATATTGTTTTAAAGTATTGATTTTTGAATATGATATCTTATTTAATGGGTTTTAAAAGGGTTTTTGTAAAATAACCCACTTTGTTGTTGTGTGACTTCAAGTCATTTCTGACATTTGACAACCCTAAGGTGGACCTATCATGGGATTTTCTTGGCAAGATTTGTTCAGAGGAAATTTGCCATTACTCTCCCTTGAGGCTGAGAACATGTGACTTGCCCAAGGTCACTCAGTGGGCTTCATGGTAAAGTTGGGAATTGAACCCTGGCCTTCAGAGTTATAGTCCAACACTCAAACCACTATGCCACACTGACTCTCTTTTATCACTAATTTTTAATTAATGTACTTTTATGTATGAGATGTCTTGGCTTTCATTCTGGAGGAAGTCAAAGTATCAAGGGAATAAATAGATAAATAAATGAATGAATAAATGCTTTACTTTTGTTTTCATTATTAAGTGTTATATTGCCACTTCTCTCTCTCTCTCTCTCTCTCTCTCTCTCTCTTTTTCTCTGGCTGCATCTAAACTGCAGAATTTATTTATTTATTTATTTTTAAAAAATAGATTTATATCCTACCTTTTCCCCAATATGGGATTAGTGCAGTTTGACATTATTTGAACTGCCATGGCTGAATGCTATGGAATTCTGGGATTTGTAGTTTTCCGAGCAATTTAGCCTTCTCTATCAGACAGCTCTACTGCCACAAAAAAGTACAAATCCCAGGATTCCATAGGATGAAGCCCTGAGAATGAAAGCAGTGTCAAATGGCATTAATTCTGCAGTGTGGCAGCAGCTTCTCTCCGTCTTTTCAGTTGTATTGTGGATGGCCTTAGCTCCCAGTTCTGGGAGAAAAATGGGATATAAATGGAGCTAATCATTACAGGCTAGGGAAGGCCAGACAGCAATGAATCAAGGGTGGGCAAAGTGTGACCAGTGGGCTGCATGCAACACTTGGGACCCCCGACCTGTGGTTTCTGAAGCCCTTATGAGCCCCCAGCTCCACAATTTTTTATGGTGGCTAACTTGGGGGCAGTATGTTTTTTTGCCCACAATCTGTACAGTCTCAACTCCACCCAAAGTAAAAAAAAACAGAAACAGAACAAAACATTTGCCAAAACTGTGGGTGGGAATGGTGTTACATCATTCTTGATATGCTGAAATGGCTGGTGTTTCTCATTGGGTGTGACTTCCCATTGTATCCTGGGATTAACAATTTAGGGATGGATATTTAGAATGCTTAACCGTGGAGCAATAGCACTCCACCAAATTACAAGACTCAGGATTCCACAAGACATTGCCATGGCAGTTAAAGTAGAATATAGCACTGTATTTATGCAGGAGGCTCTCTCCTTGTACTTCTGATGGCAGGTTAAAACCTTTTTATTCGGATAGGCTTTTAAAAGTGAAAGTTTAAAGAATGGGCTTGGGGGTGCTGTACTGTTTCAATTGTGTTGTTTTTAGAGCTTTCATTTTTTAAAAATTGTATAGTCAGCCCTCAACATTTGTGGCTTTGACTTTTGTGGATTTGATTATTCACGAATTTGATTAATGTGTTCTCTCTAGGAATCTCTTGGTCCTCTGTGAGAAGTTGACCACAGACTCACACTGGATGACAAAGAGTTTCCTAGAGGAAACAGTTCTCTATGCATTTGTAGGTTCTTTGGTACAATTTGTGGTCAACATCTGCCAGATGTTGGCCATAGAGTTGTTTGGAAGACCAAGAAATTCCTAGAGAGGTATTCTTTCAGGTTAGAAAAAGGTTTTTTAATTTGAGCTTTTTTTACACTTTCATGGGGGTCTTGATCCCTTACCCTAGCAAATGTGGAGGCTCTACTTTATTCTTTTAACATGTGATGTGTTTTAATACTGCAATAGTTTAATTCTATTTTAATGTTCACTCTTTGTATGTTTTTAGTTGTTCTTTTAAATTATTAGCCCAATTTTGGGGGAAATTTGGATATAAATAAATATAATGATAACAGCAATGTGAATGGGCTCTGGGAAGAGGGGAAGGGTAGGACCCACTGAATGTGTAGAAGCCTGCTTGCTTAACCCTGATAGTAGTCCAAAAGCTGGGTGTCTCTGACAGAGAATTCCTATCACCTTCAAAAATAGCAATTGCCAGAGGGAAATTTGAGAAAAGAAGCCTGGTTTAAAGTTCACGACACGTAGTTGCTGTGTGTATGGCCCAATCTATTTTTTTTAAAGTCTACCTGCTGTAGCTGCTTATAAACAGATTTAATTAATTGCTAGATAATGGATGAACAGATTTAGTTTATTGCCAGATAATGACTGTGTTTGTCCGGCTTGCTTAGACAAAAGAAAAATAGAAACATCTGGAAGTAATGAGTCAAACATAAGTGAAGACAATGATAATAATTCAAAACTGAATGTGTGTGATGAGGGAGAAGCAAATAAAGAAAAATAAAGATTTAAAATTCTTCAATCCAGGTACGTTTTGCAACATAGCATCATGAAACAAGAGAAGGAACAGGTAGCAATCACAGACTCACACACCAAGCTGAAAGTTGTTGCTGTTGTGAAAACTATTGTTGTTTGCCTTCTAGTTATTTCCAACTCATGGAAACCCTTAGGTGAACTTTTCACATGTTTTCCTTGGAAAGATTTGTTCAGAGGGGGTTTGACATTGTCCTCTTCTGAGGTTCAGGGAGTGTGACTTGTAATGTAACAAAGACCTAGTGGTCTTCCCAGGGAGTCAACAATGGGAATCCAGAAAGACTGATGGCTTTAACTTCAGAGTAACAAAAACACAGATCTGATTTAGGACAACCCCAAAATAGATGGACAATAGATGGACAATCCCAAAATAGATTGATAGCGAAGTTGGCTGGAAACATAGCAAGAGGTAGGTAGGAAGTATTGGCTTACTCACCTTTATCTTGTCTCTTTAATGTGAGAAGATATGCAGAAAGCCTGGGAGGAGAATGGAGTGATCACCAATCTCATTCAGCCTTTATTTTGGTGTTCCCTGGGTCCTTCACTTCTTTGGGTCTATGTTTCCTGGTGTTCCAAAAGTCATTGTGACTTAAGAACATGCCTGGCTCCAGGCATGAAAATATGGAAGCCACATATATAGTGCATGAGGTGTCAGACATATTAACAAAGCAGCTAGAATTTTCTGTTAGAGAGCTCTAGTCTGTTACTTTAAAATTAGAGCAGTAGTAGAACTCTCTAGAGGAGAATCATAGGTGACTCACCAAATTACAAGTTTCAAATTACAAATTTCTATAGCATGCAGCCATTTCAGTTAACATGGAATCATAGTGCTATCATTGTGTAGAGTAGATACACTCTCAGTGTTAGTTGAGTGTCCTGAATGCAGTGAAGTAAGTTAAGGGAAAAAAGAAAAGAAAAAAGAAAATGGAAAATGTCAATTTTCCATCCACAGTGGTTTACACTGACCTCCCATAATTTCCAGTATTGGGAGAAAAAAAGTCCAACCTTTAAAATTCTCTTCCAGATAGGTATAATGCTTTACTGGACAACACACCTCAGGATTCCATAGGATGCAGCCATAATGTGGAATCATAGTGCTAACATTTTATTGTATCAAAGGGCTCCTTGTCTACAGGTTACCTAGGTGCTAATTAAAAGAAAGAAAGTTAGAGAGAAAGAAAGAAACAAAGAAAAGCAATTAATTTTAAAGGATGTTTATTTTTTAATTTCTGATTTGATGCAATTCATTCTAGATAGAAATCAGCATGAGGTAAGGCTATGGATATTGTAAAATGACAAGTGTTGCAAATAGACTTTTTAAAAATAAAAGAGATACACCTTTGGGTATGAGGGCGGCACTGAACAACTTCATCACCTACAGTGGTGCTTATTCCACAGCCAGCCCCGCCAGTGAAATGTGCTATTGTTAGGAGATGAATATACCTATGGGAAAACAAGAAGCTGAGGATAAATAGTGGTGGGTTACTATTTGAGATTGAACTGAAATGTGTTTCTTTTAATAAGCATCCATTAAATGCATTCAAAGGAGTATAATAACAGCAATATTGCTACAATATTTTTATAAGAAGTATAGTTGAATTATGAGATTAAGAAGGATCATCTGGATGGGGTATAAAAAAGAAAACAACATCAGATACTGGATGACATTCTGTTAGTGAAACACACATTCAAGTTATAGACGAGGGACAAATTATTTGCCATATTGCAACTGATGTATTCTGTGCTGTGAGAGCACAGTTGCCCATACAGCTATGTTTCACATTGCAGTTGTGCAGTATACATTGTGCATGGTGATTATGCACATTGACACCCAATCATTGAAATTTGTTCCATATGAGATTTAATTATGTTCTATATCCTTTTGTAATTATTTTTCATTTCCAGAAAACATGTATAAAAAACATGTATAAACAATGTCAACAATGATTGTGGACTGAATTTTTAAACAAACCTTCCACTTTTTTTGGACTTAAATACCAGTTATGGTAAATCTTACATCTGTTTTCTCCTTCAATTTATTGGAAACAGTTAGTTGAGAACACTCTTACATAACCTCTTCATACTTCCAATGTTATTGTTACTCCACATCTTTTCTCCTGGAAAGATATTAACTTGTCATTTTCAAAAATAAGAACTTGATAGAGCTGACCTGTAAGACTCTTGCTATTTTCCTACTACAATAACTTCTCAGATTTAGTCTTCTAGAACCATGCTTACAAATCAGGGCAAAAACAGAGTACTAAATCTGGAAGTTTTGAAACAATTGTGGCAGTGAGGTTTCATCCTAGTCCCCAGTTGCACAAATCATATATTATATGATTGATAAATAATTTTGATACAGTCAGTAGCATCTTCACCCTCACCACCACATATGACACATAACTAAATATATATTTCTTTTTGTCTGTTTACTGGAGTAACTGTTGAGAAAATCTTGATTTACATCAATGCCATGTTGACTCAACAGCCTGGGTAGAGAACTTATTCTTTAGTTTCCTAAGGTCTTCTTGTTTATTATCATAGGCTATGTTTCAGATGGGATACATATTCCCTCTCCTCATAATCATGTTTGCACTATTCAGACATGATAGAGAATAATCTACATTCATGACATAATACAATTAATTTGGAAAGCTAACCCCACCCTCCAAGTATTTCTAAACTGAACTGGACTCCCTTTTAAGCATTCCAAACACATTTTTTGTTTACCTTTGTAAAATAAATGGATTTTAGCAGAGGGACAGTCATCAGAAGTAACACTAAGGGAGAATTCTTGGGAAGAGTATTTATTTTAATTGGTGAAATCCTTCCCATTTATGATAAATTAAGTCTAG